CAGATTGGGAGAGGGGATTGCTAGTAGCATCCTCGTCAGCAAAGACCTCATCAGCAAAGCGAAGGGAACCTACCCACAAACAAGGGTTATCAACTACCCGTCATTCATCACAACGCCCTTGCCATAACCCGTTAGGCAGGAGGGTCACTATTGCAACCAGTCAGCAGCTCTGCGCGCGAGTCCCAACGCAGCAAGCAAGGTGGCTAGGGAGGCATGGTGACTTTGACCTTAGAGCACATTGCTCACCTGATACGGTCGAGCATATGGTATGGTGCATCCACCTTGACAAGAAGGAGAGCACGATCAGAACCCAGTCAGAACGGGTCACATACCAATGCAAACCCGAAGACGAGTGGGATAACTCACCATTCAAACCAGTCAATACTGAGCTCACCTATCTCTCCATGCACCCAGTAGTTATCGACGAAAGGGTGAAGATTGAGAAGCAAGTTACATCTGCAGAGATGGTAACTCGAGCATGCCAGAACCAGCATTATGCTGCTCAAGAACTGGATAGCTACTTAGACGATATGTGGAGGGCACAATATACTGCAAAGAAACTTGGGGGCCACTCGACGTCTGTGCGCAAGCGGGTCAGAACTACAGAATTGGTGGATAGTTCCGACCTTGTACTTACCCAGATACGAGATCCCATAATCACCAGTATAGTGCAGCCAGCGGGCAGTGGCAACTTGAGGAATGGAGCCAACCCAAATAATCACCTCATACCAATTGAGAGTATGACCGCCATGCAAGAGCAGGAGAAGGACATCTTTGAGGATATTGCATACAGCCCTATCCAAGGGAGGGAGAATCTCCCACACTACCGACAAACCGATGGAACAACCAACCTGGCCAACCACAGATCCCCTATAAATCACTTCTTATCGCAAATCTCCAGTGATTACGCGAGTGGATTGAATTCATCTCTAATCGATAAAGGGTCATGGAGGAATAACGGCAAACCTGCGACTTCTTCAAAAGCACAAGCGACAGATCAACAAAAGCAGCAAACATGGACGACACCATCCATCACCACTCAGATCGATTTTCCCTACCTCACCCCACCTTATCCTATTATTGTCCGACATTGCCAAAGGCAACCTGGGAGAGCGGACCAGAGGATGTGTCAAGGTGCAATCAAGGCACCTAATCTGCATTTGCACTAAATACGTCTAGTCTGCATTTGCATTATGATCCTTATGATTGCCACTCGCCATTCCA